CGATGCAACGCAACGCATAAAAATACAGTATAAGTCATTATAATCCTTTTTATATTAGACAATTATGTCCCCACTGGATGCAACAAATGCCTCGTTTATAATGGGTTTTCATGTTTTTGTCTCGTCGCTCCGGCCGGACAGAGCATCACAGTATGGTGAGGGGCGTAACATTTCCGTCACACGCTTGAGGTATTCAGCCAATCACAACGCACTGGATAGCTGGCCAATCAGAGCACACCTCGCTTTTCAGACCGATGAGCTTTGTAAAAAATCGACGCGTTTCAGAAAGGCGGGGCATAGAGGAGAAACAATAATTTACAGTATGTGGAAAATAATGTGTTTTTTTTACCTTAAACCGCATAAACACATTTCATTACACCAAATACACAAAATAATGTTCTTTTTAGCATCATCATATGACCCCTTTAACTTCAAGAATGAGCAAGTGTTGTCAATGAGTTTAAAGTTCGGGGATCGAAAAAAGAGCAAACGGGATGAGAAATTGCGATCTATAGCACAATGAATCACGGAATTTATTAGAGCCACAGAAAGACAAACGTTTTGCTGAAAAATGCACAATACACAATCTTCCAACCTAGGATGAAGTCATTATGTACATTCACAATAACTTGGGTCAAATATAATGTAATTTAATGGAAAATGATGTGAGTGGAGCTGTGGCGCGGCAGGATTATGAACAGCAACCGGGTTGGGATCCGAGGACAGTCGCTGCCGGTGTGCATACAGTCATGGAAAACAATGTGTGGGAATTTTAAAGATGTGGTGCGGCACGGTGCACGGCTGCACATGTCGTCCGGTGTGCGACCGCCTTAAGGCTGGATAGCCTCTTGTTTCAGAGGTGGAATTGTCAAAGATGACTTTTAGAAGAGGACACCGTAATAGGCTGGTAGTTTTTTCCCCCGACGAGGTTAGGGGGAGAGGGCCTAGGCTCAAGAGTCACGGTTCGCTACTGATTTAAGCTGTCTATTTTTAGCTGTCTATAGCGTAACAACTCCCTACTGAAAAAAAAAAAACAGCTAAAACCAGCCTAAGCTGATTGACTGCCTTTTTCTTACTGAATCAACTGTTTTTAGCTGGATTAGCAAAGAAACATGCTAACAACATGCTAGTAACTAGCTAATCATGCTAACAACATGCTAGTAACATGCTAATCATGCTAGAAATGTGCTAGTAACTTGTTAATCATGCTAAAATAGGCTAACACCAGGCTAGTAACATGTTAAACATGCTAGAAACATGATAGCATCATGCTAGTAACATGGTAATCATGCTATAATCATGCTAACAACATGTTAGTAACTTGGTAATCATGCTAGAAACATGTTAACAAAATGCTAGTAACTTGTTAAACATGTTAACAAAATTATAGAAACTTTGTTAAACATGTTAGAAACATGCTAGCATCATGCTAGTAACATGGTAATCATGCTATAATTATGCTAGCAACATGCTAGTAACTTGCTAATCATGCTATAACAATGTTAACAAAATGCTAGTAACTTGTTAAACATGCTAACAAAATTATAGAAACTGTTAAACATGTTAGAAATATGCTAGCATCATGCTAGTAACATGCTAATCATGCTAGAATCATGTTAACAAAATGCTAGTAACTTGCTAATAATGTTAACAACATGCTAGTAACTTGCTTATCATGATAACAACATGCTAGTAACTTGCTAAACATGTTAACAAAATGTTAGAAAGTTGTTAAACATGTTAAAACATGCTAGCATAATGCTAGTAACATGCTAATCATACTAGAATCATGCTAATAACAGAACTACCACATTTTGCTATAAGTTTGATTGCATCATATAATAATTGCTGTTAATAGTGTTCATCGTCTGTTTTATTACGTCTTAAATTGATTTTTCCGTACTGCTGGTTCGTCTGGTCAGAGGAGAACTGGCCCCCCGACTGAGCCTGGTTTCTCCCAAGGTTTTTTCTCCATTCTGTCACCGATGGAGTTTTGGTTCCTTGCCGCTGTCGCCTCTGGCTTGCTTAGTTGGGGACACTTCATTTCCAGCGATACCGTTGACTTGATTGCAAAGATACTATTTAAACTGAGCTGGATGTTGACATCACTGAATTCAATGATGAACTGTCTTTAACTGAAAAATTTGTGTTTACTATTGTCATTTTGCATTATTGACACTATTTTCCTAATTAATGCTGTTCAGTTGCTTTGACACAATCTGTATTGTTCAATGCGCTATATAAATAAAGGTGACTTGACTTGACTTAATAACATGTTAATCATACTAGAATCATGCTAGTGACATGCTATTAACTTGCAAATCGTTAACAGCATGTTAGTAACTTGTTAAACATGTTAGAATCATGATAACACCATATTAGTAACTTGCTAATCATGTTAGAAACATGCTAGCAACTTGTTAAACATGCTAGAAACATGTTAGCATCATGCTAGTAACATGTTAATCATGCTCGAATCATGCTAGTAAAATGCTAATCATGCTAGAATAATGATAGTAACATGCTAGTAACATGCTAATCATGTTTAAAAAAGGCTAACATCATGCTAGTAACATCCCAACCATGCTAGTAACATGTTATTCATGCTATAATTATGCTAGCAACATGCTATTAACTTGCTAATCATGTTATTAACATGCTAGTAACTTGTTAATCATGCTAGAATCATGTTAACACCATATTAGTAACTTGCTAATCATGCTAGACACATTCTAGCAACATTACTAAACATGCTAGAAACATGCTAGCATCATGCTAGTAAAATGTTAATCATGCTAGAATAATGCTAGTAACGTGTTAATCATGTTAACAACATGCTAGTGTAGAGTCTGGACCAATCAGACACAACATTTTTCATTTGATTTAACAAATCAATTATTCATTAGATTAACAAATAATCACAGACCCCTCACCCAATAAACATGCTGGGTGCCAGGATGTCTGCGAACGACCACAGGCCACTGGTCACCATGGCAACCCCGACACCTTTTGCTAGACCAGATACACTTTACGACCTAATGGCATGTTGAGAGTTCTCCCTTTCACCAGATTTTCCATAGGAGAGACACAATGCACAGTAAAAATGGACTATTCTCTAATTAATTCATAGGAAAACCTTTCTTTGAATGAACACACATATCCTTACGGTCATTGTGTATGTTGTTACTGTCCTTGTATATTGTCTTTTATATTGTATACAGTTTTATGCAGGCTTATGATGGAACCACTCGTTCCTGTCATCTTACCTATATGTAATCCTACCATGTTTAGTATCTATGAATTCATCTTCAGATTATCTAATTGAGAGAGCATATTACATGCTGATACCTATGCAACATATTAGTGTTCTAAGAATCTTTACTAGTTTGTGCATCAACACCCAAGCGAATTACATTTGCAAATTACCATGCCCTCACACAAAGGGTCGTAAAACCCTCCAGTAATTGCAACCTCCCGCTTAGGATTTCAGCCTTTCTCATTGGACAAGCCCATCTTGAGAGGCGTAAGCTAACACGACTTAGCATAGTTTCATCTTAGGCTAAGCTTGTCAGCATCCTACCTCCTGTAGTTTGTCTCTGTGCCCTTGAGGTCCCGTTTTTTCCTCTGCCTTAGTTCTTCCTCGGGTGGCCTTGTTAGCGTTATCCAAGTCACCTGCGCCTTGTTTTCCCCAGTGTATTTAAGTGGTGTATTTTTCCCTTGGTTCCTCACTCGGTTTTTGAGTCTTCGCCCTGTGTCTCCTGCCTGGTCTCGTTAAAGCCTCTCTAGCTACCCCAAGTAGGGTTTCCTGAGTTTCTTCCTTTGGTTATAATTGTTCTCTGGTTTTGTTTTCTCCCCTCGTGGAGTTTTGTTTTCTCATGTGGTTTTTCCATTATTTTTGCTGTAGTTAATACCTCAGTCCGAGAAGACCTTTTGTTGTATTTTTCTTGCAAAGACTTTTTTGTAATAAATCTACATTTCCTGAGAAACTGCCTCAAGTGTTTCGTTTGGGTCCAACATTACCACTCCCGTGGATTAGTGGTAGATCTCTCAACTACCATGCCAGAGACCCGAGTTCAAGCCCGGCGCGTGACAGAAAAACCGAGTCAGCTATGGACCCAGAAACACAATTTAACCTAATCCCTGGTTTCTGATTTTTCACTTTCATTTCATTTCATTTCATTTTCTTTTTTTTTTTCTTTTTCTATGTTTCCCATCTTCAATTCGCCTCAGCGAATGTAACAATCTTAGATGTATCCTTCCTGAATGCTATTGCTCAGTTACTAGTTAATTAAATCTAAATTTAATTCTTACAGTTAATCACTAGTGCTACTGATTGTTCCTAATACCAGATTGATTACCCTATTTTTAATAATAGCAGTCAGCTAATTTTAAATCCATTTACATTTTATACCCCTTTTTGCTCCCCTTGATTTGATGTTCTCTCTGAACCTCGAAAGGAACCAGAGACACTTTTATTTTTTATTTGTTTATTTTCAACATGTGCTCTAATTTTATGACCCTGTTACACAAGTCATCTAGACAACATTTTAGTCTTATTTTAGTCAGAATTATCCATGACTATTTTCGTCTAGTTTTAGTCGACGAAAACTGATGACATTTAGTCTAGTTTTAGTCAATGAAAATTGTATTTTAGTCTCTTTTTAGTAATGCAATTCTATTTAACCCAGTCAATATATAAGTACCTAGTAGTATAGACGAAACCAAAATTTTATTTTAGCCAAACCCATTTCAGACAAGGTTATCTTATTATATTATTGTTACCTTATAGACTCAAGAATACATCCATTCCAGACACGGAAGACGCTCTGATTTGAATTTACAACATTTATTTTACCAACCAAACATGTTAGAAGTACACACATAAATTGAAATAAAATAAATAAAACAAACACTGTGTGTTGGCTTGAACTTACCTGAATATATTTGTTCAGGAATAAAACAAAAAGTCTTCACAACCAAATCAGAATCAACAATTTAAGAGCAGCAGAGTTTTTTTTTTGCATAGATATGGGAAAGGTTGCTTATTAAAATGCTCTCTGTGTTTGTGTGTGTGTGTGTGTGTGTGTACAGTACATGCATGCTTCTTGCATGGCTGTTCAGGCCAGCCATTAACTACTACTTAGGCTTGTTTACTTTGAGGAAAGCGCTTCTTTCCAAAATGGTCCTAGCCCTGTTCCTGCGGCCACAAGAGAGGTAACCAGTTACACTGAAGACCCTCTCTGTAAATGCCTGAGAGGCTGGCATCGCCAGGAGGTCTAAGGCCAGAGGTTTCAGTGTTGGAAACGCAGTGGAACAACACTGAGTTAACCAATACTCAATGCCAGATTCCTCAACCTCAGCACTAGTAGCAGCAGTCTGGTGGGACTCGGACAGCCCCCTTTATATTTTAAAATCTCCTGCCTAATGTTTGTTGTCTTGGCTGTCTTGGGCCTCGATGGACGATTAGCACTGAAGAACTTAAATCTATGCCGTTTTGCGGGGGTTGACTCTGGAGCCTCTGTACCCTCATTTGCGACTTGCTCATCATCGGTCAACTGCTCTTCTCGTACTTGCACTCTTTGTGGCACAAGATGAGCAATGTAGTCCTCTGCCTTTCTGACAAGATTCTGTACTTCGTTGTCATCATTTTCCAGAAGGGTTTCAGCTACACAAGGGTCCACAAAGCATGCTGCTGCAGGAAGTGGTGAGAAGTTGTCAGCCGTTATGTCAAGAAACACACTAAAGCGCCTATCCATGCTGGACAGCATCTTCTGAGCCAGAGTAGCTGCATCTTTGTAGGTTCGCCCATGTGCAAGCGAGAACTCCAACAGGTGGTTTTTGAGATCCAGGAGTGTTGGCACAACAAGGGAAAGTGATTGAGTGTCACTTTCAAGCGACTTAGTGTGCTCCGCAAATGGCAGAAGAAGGTCTCTCAGCATCCCGATCTTCTGCCACTCACTGGGCTGCAGGCTGTCCCAGCCCATGGACTCAGCCACAGCTGTGAGGTGCTCCTTGACTTCAAGACAGCGCGAAATCATAGCAAAGCATCTTGACCACCTGGTGGGACAGTCTTTTACCAGAACCAGAGCACACTTCTGCAGCAGCCGCTCTGTGGCGACAGATGACTTCCTAAATTTGTTCACCAAGTGCCTCACTTTCTCCAACAGCCTTCGGATTGGGGGTTCCTTCTGGACCATATTCACTACAAGCTGTACGGTGTGAACCACGCATGGGGTCCTTTCTATGGCTCTGTAGTCGTATCTACATGGAAATAATAAAAAAAAACAAATGTACATATTTAACCATTTTAGCCCTTACATTATTGAACCAAATGAAATAGTTCTAGTAGTTAAGTTCCTATGAACTTATTTAGTCTTTATTTATATGAAATTAAATCATGACCAGTTTCATAAATGCTGAATGAATTAATAGCATAATTTTTTAATCTTTTAACTTTCTATGCAATTATTTTTTTTTATTAATAATATAATATATGACCAGTTACATAAATGTTGAATGAATTATATTGTATATAGTATTTTTTATGTTTCTTACTGTCCCCTTGTGTTTTTACTCTTTATATGTAAAGTGTTTGTTGTGTACTTTGAGAGCAAAGACTAACCGGAGTCAGATTCCTTGTTTGTATATGCAAACCTGGCCAATAAAGTTGATTCTGATTCTGAATTAATAAGCATAGTTTCATACACAGACTTGCCTTACCTGTCATCCTCCCCTTCCTGATGCTCATAGTCATCATTGGCATCATCGTGCTCTGCCTCTGAGTCCTCTTCAGAAGTTGAGGCAACTTCTGCATGTGTGTGGAACGAAGCCACCATATTGCTGCCATTGTCAATAATCGTTGTGAGGACCTTCTCTCTGGGGATCCCCCATTCTTCCATTGACTCCTCCACAAGTGTACTAATCGACTCTGCGGTGTGAGGGTGAACCATCTCCTTCAGGTTCAGGAGTTTGTGTTCAGCCTTGTTGTCCTCAGGGTTGAAGTAACAGGCGCTGACTCCCAGGAAGGATGCTGTAAGCCCCTTTTTAGTCCAAATATCCAACCCTGTAGTTATTCTGCATGCTGTGGCCATGTTTTGTTTGATCTTTTCTTTCTCTTCTTTGTACATTTTGTCAATCAAGTTTAAAATTTTATGTCTTTTTGGCACTTTGAACCTTTTGTCCATTTTTGCCATCATCGCGATGAACTCCTCATCTTCGACAATTCGTGCTGGGAGCCCTGTGCGGCCTATCCACTGCGCTATCCCCTCCTCTTTGGTACGTTGCTCTGGGGAGTTGTCGTTGTACCTCCATTTGGCAAAGAAATCCTGAGCACTAGTTGGCTTGTCCATCTTCTTGGGTGGGACTTGCTTCACTGGTGCTATTTCTGGAATCTAGCACAGGAATAGATACAATGTCAGGACAGATGCAGCCTCTGGAAAATCTAACTGTTGTAAATATTAAGTAGCATACATCCTTGCTATGATTTTTACCATAGTAAATCAAACTCTGAGTGAGTGACTTGACTGTCCGTAAAAGAAAAAAAAAAGTCTACATAATCAAAACAGAAGCAGTCTAAGCAGTAGACTCGGAAGGCATGTTAATGCCAATACCATTTGTTTAAATGTATGTATTGGTCTAGAATAAGGTATTCAAAGTCATGTTGTTGATGCCAAATTCAGTTCAGTGTGATTGCTATGTGAATGACAAAACTAGCTACAGTATTTGGCCAACAAGGGATGCTTAGTACACAGTACGAGTCAGTCAGTCAGGTAGGAACTAAGAACCCACTTTACACTCTCTCACACAAACAAAAATATACACACACACACACACAAACACACACACACACACACACACACGTTAACCCACTTTACACTCTCTCACAAACAAATATACACACACACACGCTAGTCACACACGTTTGTCTCAGTCGTTTTCAGCTCCAGTGGCTAACATTTAAAGCTAACGTTAAAATGAGACAAATTAACCACAGCCTCATGAGTTGGCATAAGCTTTCTAAAATAGAAAGTAATGTTACGTTCATGTCTTGACTTACCTCAATTTCATTATGGAGTGCCTTGAGATGTCTCTTAAGGTTCGTGGTGTTTTTTCCTGTGATTTTGTGGCCGCATTTCTCCCCATCTTTTTCCACAACACATTCCGTTTTCTTTTCCACTTCTATGTAATGAAAGTTTTTCCAAATGTCGTTTCTTCTTTTTCTCCCAAAGACGAAGTTGGCCGGCCATCGGTCCCTTTCCCTTTCGTCTTCTAAATAATGCCACGAGTGGGGCTTGAGGAAGTGACGTCGCCTGCGTCTGCGCAGTGCGACCTGATGCAGCCCCTGAAGTGAGACACAGGAAACAGAAATACTGCAAAATAATAATAATAACGCGACTAAACGAGACAAAATAACGTTATAACATTTTGTTTCGTCTCGTTTTGGTCAACGAAAATGAAGAGACATTTTAGCATAGTTTTTATTTTGTAAACCACATTTAGTCTCGTTTTTATTCGTCAACAATATTGCATTATACATTTAATTATAGTCATCGTCACATGAACAGCATTTACGTTGCGTCTTGTCTCGTTTTCGTCACGTGATAAAGGTTCGTTGACAACGATATTTAGTAATAATTTTCGTTGATGAAAGCAACACTAGTACGATAAGAAACTAACCTGATTTTAGCGAAGAAATCCTCATTTCTGTTGTTAGTAGAGGGTACGCCTTTTCTGACGAAGAAATCTCAGATTAGCAGCCCATATAAATGGTACCAGAATAAATCGGTCTGATCTTGGGCGAAGAAATCCCATTTTTCAGCACTGTGTACGTGATCTGAGTAATGCTCCTCATTTCAGTGATTTAAGGCCTTATTATGTGTTATGTATCATTGTATTCATATTGATCCGCTCATGTTTTTGGATTCAGTTAGGTCAGTCCCTCCCCACATACTTTGGTTTTACTTGTGTTATTGTTTATCTTTGTTTTGACTTTATTCTACCTCTCTTTGATTTTATTGCATTTATTTACATTTGTTTAGCACA